CAGTCCTTGCTCCCTGTGCTGCTTAGAGGAGGCATTTCCCATGGCATATCCCATACCTCTCCAGGGCTCCCATGTTCCCCTGCCTCACCCCATCAGGGAATGCTGATAGCTGCCCTTTCCTCCCACTGTCACAAGGGGTCAGACTTCACTTGTTTCCTTGGTGTGTTGCCTCCTGGCCTGGATAGGGGAGCATCAGAGCAAAGGAAGTGAGCCTGTGTCACTGCACTAGGCGGTCCCTTCACATGGATGCTCGGTGACAGAGGAAGGGAGGTGTGGGGACTGGATCCGAGTTTGGCTTGAGATGTGACAGTAGTAGTCAAGGTAGAGGAACTGAGGGGAGGTGGAAAGGTAATGAGCAATATTACATAGTAAAATGTGTTTTGTGATAAATCTATAATTGGTGAATTGGAAGGTTAGGGCTTAGAGATGTGGCTAAAAGAAGTCATCTATTTATGTGCAATAATCAAATCTAGGCAAAAGGGTCAGTTTGTGAATGAGCACGTAAAAGAAGAATTCCATAGGGCCCGGCAGTGAACCCCGCTGCTCCAAGAGGACTGCAAGATGTGAGAAACACGTGGTCAGGCCGAAACGGCCAAGCAGAATGTAAAACATCACATATATTTGATTATGATTACATAAAATGTGTGCACAAAAAGAAAAATTAGGAAACTGCAAAAAAGACAGTTGTATTGAGATAATCCAGTCGTGAGTGATTTTCCCCTTAAATTTTCTTCAGTTGATTCATGGTTTAACTTTAAACAAAGGGGCAGAAGGGCAGTAAAGAGGCAGATAAGAATAGGGAGAGGTTGGTGCCGTGGTTAGCAGGCCTCAGGGCTAGGAAGACAGCGGTAGATTTTTATGTTGCAGGCAACAGGCCAGGACCTCTTAAAGCAGGAAGGTGCCTTTTGGATTTGGCAGGCGTTTCCTGCTCGCTGTGACAGAACCGGAAGGACCTGGTTGAATGAGAGAATCCAGTCCAGCAGTCCATATACAGGTGAAGAGATGAAGCCCTGTTCTTTTCCTCAGCATTGTGTCTCCACACATCTAGCAGCCTTAATTTCTGAGAAAGCAGACCAATTCATGGCTTGCTGGAGTTGAAGGAACTGTATTCCTTCCAACATGTAGTTATTCCCTTACTCATGAACATTTCCTTTTTCTTCCTCTGACTGAACTGTAAGCTCCTGGAGAGCAAGACTAGTTCTGCTGTTACCTCAGAGCAGCTTGTGTAACCAGAATTTTTTCTTGTTGAGGCTAATTTCCTCCCTGTGCCTGCCTGCCTGCTGTGGAGGCTGTTCTAGAGGAGGAAGCACACTTAGTGGGGTACCTTGGGAAGAGATGGTGAATGGCTGAGAATGTGTGTGTATGAAGAAAGTAGAGCTGCGAGTGAGACGCAGGGAACACAAGTGATCTGTTGTATGTGGAGAATGCAGGGAAGGAAGGAATTCAGGAGTCCAAGGTAGAATGAATGGTTCTGTGCTCAGAGGGCATCCAGGAAGGACTAGGGGTGTAGATGGAGGCCAGCAGGAGTGAATTTAAGGTGCCCATACACCAGGGAGGCAGACTGAGAGATGGTCTGAGCTGGGGGGAGCTTGTATTAGAAAATAAGAATTTGCAGGTTGTTTACACACAGCTCTGCTCAGTGCCCTTAGGGATGGGGGAAGGTGTAGAGGGTAGGCAACCACTGTCTTTGCCATTGTCATAGTGTGACCTCATTCCACCAGTGTGGAGATTGAAGTCTGTCAAGTAAGTCTGACCAGTGTCCTGGGGGACGAATATTTGATTAAGTGGGTTGAGAAAATGGAAGAATTGGCAGAAGTTTTATATGAAAATGTGTACAGCAGCCTGCTGATTTTGTTTTGCTTTGTTTGTTGTCTCTCCACTCCATTTGGTTACTCTCTGTTCTCCCCTATGTCAATCCTGCACAGTCCTATTAGGCTAATTGTCTGTGCATGTTACTGCTTATTTTACTTTCATTCACAGCCTGGTACCCAGTATGCTTCCCAACTGGGCGTTCAGAATCCTCACATCATAGTCTTTTGCCAGGATTTATGTCGGGCTCCATGTGTCTTCCATCTTTGACAAAATGGATGATTTTGTGCTTTTCAGACACAAAATCTGCTTCTCTGCCTCCGTGCTTTTCCTCATACTAGTTGGCTTAGTTAGAATTTTCTTTGTGCTCCTACCTACCACATTTTATTTGTCTTTCAGAGATTAACAAACCACAGCCTGAAGGCTAAATCTGGCCTGCTATCAGTTTTTATAAATAACATTTATTGGAAAACAGCTTCAGTTGGTGGCTGCTTTTGCACTCTGATGGTAGGGTTGAGCAGTTGCAGACACCTCCAGCCTGCAAAGCCTAAAATACTCACTCTGGTTCCTACAGAAAAAGCGTACTTTTATGTGTGCTGTCAGCAGCTCTGCAGTGTGCTTTTCCAGGAATCAGGGTTATAGAATTCCTGATCCTTCCTCAGGAATGGGGACAGAGGGCTAGGAAGAAATGACAATTACAATGTTAAAATTAACTTTCACTCATGTTATAGATCATCTTCCGTTTTCAAACTCAGTAGAAGTCATGGTTTTGTTACCTTGTAGGGGGGCTAGGTTTATTCTTTCTATTCAGCAAAGAATCAAAGAACAGGACACAGAGATAACAAGCAAGAGCAGGTTATTGCAAAAGCTACAGAGATAGACTTCTCCAAAGAGAAGGGGCACTAAAGCTGGGAATCTGGTGGAGTTTTGGCCTGTTCTCTTTATGGTCTCCTCCCCTGTCCACACGTTCCTGTTAATGATAGTGCTCATTCTGTCCATGTGTCTGTTTTAGATTTTTATTGGATTCCCTCCTTAGGAGCATGAGTACAGAGTGTTTGTCTGATTGGGTCTCCTGCTTATGTCCATGAGTACTTTGTCACGTAGGAAGTTGACCTCATTAGAAGACCCTCTCCATGCTCCTTTGTTCTGGTCCTGTCCCTGAAGTCCTCACTCGCCATCATACCCTGGCTCCCTAAGCCCTTTTATATCTCCTTGTTTTAGGTAAAACAGTTTTAAAATAACTCACTAGGAATTGCAAGTGAAAAGGCAAATGTTTTGCACTGATTATGGGGTGACAGTCATTGTTCTTTAGAAAATGGGGATAAGGTCTCAGATGTTAATGCAAGTTACTGTAAGTACCTATTGGTTCTGGTCCATAGTAACCTATTATTCTTTTTCTATCCTTTATTGAAAATTGATAGAGGACAAGCATATTGGCTTGTGCTGTTGTGACAATGTCTTAAACATGTTAAGTTTCCAATGTATCGGGGACTTCTGTTACATTTTTTTCATCTCTAGTAGATAAACAAGCTGGTAAAGATGAAAATTCAGCCTGGAACAACCGGCAGTTAAAGCATTTGTGTAATTCATTGATAAATGGTTCCAAGGGATTGAGAAGACCAGAAGCTTATAAAAGACTGGGCAGATCAAGTGACCGTTGGATTTTTGAATGGAACTGATAGGAAATAATTCTACCTGGAAGAAATTTTGGCAACAAAGTCTTTTATATGCTATAATAAGTCACATATCTTAACTTCATCTGTTAAATTTCTAATATGAAGCTGCATTAAGTCTTTTTGAAAAGAAAGCGCAGGTAGTTAAACTATGAGAATCTTTGGAACTTGTACATCTGAGGCAGAATTTATTTTTCATGCTTACTTTCATACATACTGTCATATAAATGCTCTTGCTAATTGACAGTTTTACAAAATCAGACTTGATCTGATTGAAGTCTAAGAACATAGTTGTCTTCTACCTGAGATGTACATTCAAAGGTAGGAGCCTGTTCCACGTTAGGGAGGACAAGGCCTGTGTGTCACAGTGCAGAGGTGCTCTCTCATTCTGGAAGCTGGCTGCAGTGGTAGTAGTGGAGTGGACCAGTGGAGTTGGAGTTTCCGTGTCCTGTCTGTGGGGTTGTTTTCTTTTTTAAAGAATGAATTGTCTTAGTGAACTTGGATTTATGAGTTACTACAATGTGTATCTCACCAGGCTAGGCCCTTTATATTATTTTCTTGATAATAATAACAGAATCTCCCCATTCAAAGTTATAGAAGGTGAAATTCAGTCCTTCAAGGCATAGGCATGACTTGAAACTGGTAGACCTATAATTCAAGCCTATAAATACCCCATTGCAAAGCAGTGCCTCTTCTGAAACCCTATAGTGCTTCTTATCTTAAAACTTGCTATTATGGGGAACTTCAAACATAATCCAACTTCAGTAGTTACCAACTCTAGGCTAATCTTATTTACTCTCTACCCCCATTAGCTCCTCATATTATTCTGAAACAAATCTCAAACCACATGTCATCTCATCTGATTACTTCAGTATCTATTAAAAGCAAAGACTTTAAAAAGCACAACCACAATGCCACTATTGCACCTAAATAATAATAGTTTCTTAATATTTTCAAAATCCTGTCAGTGTTCAAATTTCTAGTAATTCCATAGCCACTTCTTTCTCTCCCTTTCTTCTTTTTGTTTTTTCTTTAGAGTTTGTTTAATCCAGGACCTAAATAAGATCTATAGATTGTAATTGTTTGATATGTCTTCTTAGTTTTCACTTTTAATTTAATGTTACTTGAAATTACAAGAATAGTACCAGGAACTCCTGTGTAATTTTCACCTAGATTCCACAATTATTAACATACTTCATTTCCATTCTTATTCTCACTCTCTTGGGAGTAAGCTGCAGACTTGATGCCTTGTTACCCCTCTATATTTTCATCTGTGTTTCCTAAAAATAATGACAGTCTTCTACCTAACTGAATAATGCTTATCAAATTCAGGAAAGTAGCATTGATGCAAAACTGTCTAATCCATGTATTCCATTCGTATCATGCCATGTTGTAACAGAGTCTTTATTGAAAAGCCAATGAACTACAGCAAGGTATTCTCTTTACCACCATTCCTTCCTGTTCAGAACCTAGATCATGTGCCTTTAATCTCCTTATATCTAGAACAGTCACTTAGTCTTTATCTTAACTTTCATGACCTTGATGTTTTTGTAGTTTACGGGTAGCTTTAGTCAGCTTTTTCACTGCTGTGACTGAAAGACCTGATGAGAACAATTTTAGGGAGGAAGAGTATATTGGGGGGCTCAGGGTTTTAGAGGTCTCAGTACATAGAAGGCTGGCTCCATTCCTCAGGGTTTGAGGTGAGGCAGAACATTGTGGCCTTTTTCCTTTCTGTATTTATGCCTTTCTTCCACTGCGAGAAATCTTGTTCTTATTGTCCTCAGTTTAGTGGCTTATTTGTCGTACCTCTTTGTATGTGGTCTTCCAGTCAAACCAGTTGTCCTCTCAGGTTTGGACCTGTTAGCTCCAGGTACCAGCTAGTTTCCTTGATCCTGCTGCTGTAGACTTGTGCCCCCCACTCTGTTCAGTGACGCAGATTAGCCCATGAGGAGGACTCATTAATGCTTAGTAAGTGTGACTTCAGGGTTCAAGACTTCATGCAGAGGAGGCAGGGTAAAGTGAGGGAAGAAAGGCCATAAAACTAAATTTAGTGATGAGATTTATTTAGGCTGGAACCAGAGTGGCAGAATAAGGTCAGATAGTCATTCTCTAAGTTAAGGAGTATTAGTACTAGTGTATGCACTCTTTATTCATTCTTTTTTGAAAGACTGGTATGATAGAGTTCGGGAATAAACTGATTCTCAATCTAGGCGAGCCCTGGAGTTCTGCTGAATGGTTTTGGGGTCTTTCATGTCCATGTAAAATAAAACTTGAAGCAAATTTAGAAGGATAGAAAAATTTTCAGATCTGCATATCCCTCCTCTATCCTAAAGCAAATAATTTTGAATGCTCAAGTGTTTGTATCATGGACTTTGCTGTGCTTTGTACCTTATGTCATATTAGCTATTAGGAAATAGCTGGTGAAAATCAGCCTTCTTCATATATAAAAAGCAACTGGAGAACTAATAATAATAATAATAATACTGTAAATCTTGGCTATTACAAAAGGTGGCAAAACAAATGAACAAACAAAAAAGTCCTAGTCAAGTGCATTGTCACAGTCTTCCTCCTGTGCCTTTGTCATGGTGATAGGAGAGCGTCAGAACTGAAAATAAGTTGAGGAAGATGTCTGTTGTTTGGTTTAAAGAGTATTAGTGGAAGGAGGCTGTTTCTCTCTCTAAGTCAGGCTTGGGTCAGCATCATAGGAGGCTGTGCCAGGGTTAAGGGCAGTAAATCAGAGATCCTACACTGGATTGTCTCTGTTCTGTGAAATTACTCCATTCCCCAAAGAACCGTAGCTTCTACGATCAGTCTTCTGGTAGGTAGCAAGTACTGTGTAGGAATGAAACCAGAGTTGTAAGCAGGAAACAGTAATCAGTTCTGTTAATCTTATAGTTGGTTCCATTGTCTGAGTAACATCAGTGACTCTTGTAAAAAGGGGAACTATTGCTGCTGCACTATAATCTAGAATCCTGACACTGGCTCACAGTTCAAAGTAGGGTTCTAGGTAAGCAAAGTGCTAAACATAAACGAGCATATTTGAATAGTAAGATTTTGAAACTACAAATGTATCTACCTTTCTGTCTTTATTTAATAAGGCAGTGTCTTCAGTTCTATGAGGAGTTGATCTGGTAATTAATTGAAGCGCAGACCAAGAAATTATATCTGTTATAATTGAGTAAGATGTTAAGACCAGAAAGAAAGTCTGACAGTTACTCTAGTTTCCAGTGAATGGAGAGAGTAATTATTATAAATCCATGACTAGTATATTACATATCCTCAGGCATGTAAGATTTATTTATTATTGTAGCTAGAAGTGTGCATCATGTTGCTTTAGGACAAACGGTCAAAGCAGAACATATTTTTCACTGATTTCTGATTCTGAGCATGCATGTGTATTTTAAAAAATATATATATATGTATATATATGTATATTTAGTTGTAGTTGGATACAGTACCTTTATTTTATTCATTTACTTATTTTTTATGTGGTGCTGAGGATCGAACCCAGCACCTCACACGAGCTAGGTGTGTGCTCTACTGCTGAGCCCCAGCCCCAGCCCCTGCATGTGTTTTCTTAATCCTCACCATCAAACTTTAAAAATTTCTCATTCTGTGGAAGGTAATATTAGAAATTCTTCACTCTGGAAATTCTCTTTTCAGATGCTGTCTTTGCATTTCAATTACGCAACCCAGTGCACAATGGACATGCTCTGTTAATGCAGGACACTCATAAGCAACTTCTAGAGAGGGGCTACCGGCGCCCTGTCCTCCTCCTTCACCCCCTTGGTGGCTGGACAAAGGATGACGATGTTCCTTTGATGTGGCGTATGAAGCAACATGCTGCTGTGCTGGAGGAAGGAGTCCTGAATCCTGAAAGCACAGTGGTGGCCATCTTCCCATCGCCCATGATGTATGCTGGGCCGACTGAGGTAGGCCGATTTTGAGATTTTCACTGCAGCAGTGTGAAGCCACTCCTACTAACACAGTAGTGTCACCAGCTCACCTGTTGATTCTCTGTTACGGGAGGGTCTATTCCAAACATTCAGTGTTCCCGAATACTCTCCTATTGGCAGGGATGTTCCCCACCTGTATCCCCCAAGAAGCAGCCTCCTAGGGAAAGGGAAGGTTGGAGAGATTTCTCTTACTCTTTTTGTGATTCTTGGTACCAGCTCTGAGGGTGAGATCATTCCCTGCAGATAGAAGCCTGGGTGAGGCTGGGAAGATGTGACACAGGCCCTCTTGTAACTCCTGGCCATGTTACAGACACAGCTCTAGCAATGTTGATATTGTTCCTTTAACAAAATCCTATGTCACTGTCTCCAAGTGACAGATTTTATCTTATTTTTGTTTTTTTTTTTTTAAATTTGCAAGGGTGAAAGGAATTACAGTGGGGGGAAAAACCATGGTATCTTCAGTCAGCTTTCTCTCATTATAACAAATATCTGAGATTATTAACTTATAAAGAGGAAAGGTTGACTTTTGGCTTAATGTTTTAGAGGTTTTAATCCATTTTCAGCTGGCTCTATTGCTTTTGGACCTCTGGTAAAGGCTACATATCATGGCAGAAGTGCATGGTAGAACAGTACCATTAATGTCATGGCCAGGGAGTGAAAGAAAGGAGAAGGGGCTCAGGTCCAACAATTCCCTTCAAAGATGTGACCCCAGTGACTGGAAGATGTCCCATTAAGCCTTACTTCTTAGAGGTTCCACCAGCTTCCACATGTAACAAGTTGGAAACCAAACCTCCAACACATGGGCCTTAGTGGGGACATTCCATGCCAAACTACAGCATGTTCATCCCCTAATACAAAATGCATTCAGTATCTTAGAAAAAGGTTCAGAATGTTTTCCATCTGTTCTTTGTGAATGATTGGAGCATAATTGAGTGAGAGGTAAAATTGCTTCTTGAAATTGGGGGGGGGGTGTTCTGGAATTCTACTTCTTGGTCAAAAGGAATGTTTGAGATTTTTTTAATATCCATATGTAAAGAAGAGGACTTGATTAAGTTTTAGCTTCAAGGCAAAGTAGGCTTTCAAAAATATTTGCTAAATGAATGAATAAATCAGTGAGTGACCTCAAAAAGAGTGGGTGGGAAATTCTCAGTCATCTTCCTGTTGATTTTTCAAGATAAAGAATGGAATGCACATTATTATTGCATTCTTTTTCATCCCTGCCTTGAAGGGTGATGAATTCACTTCAGTTTATCTGAGAGGCAAACCCTTTCTAAAAAGATCTAAGTAATTCAGTCATATAAACTCTGTGATGTCCTCCTCCAGAAACAATTTCAAAGGGAATCCAAGACATTTAACTGTTCTTTGGGATCAAGCCTAAACATTTTTATTGGAGTTTAGTTATGGGGTTGTATACTCTGTTACCTCTTTATCTGAGAAAAACAGACAAAAGAAGCAATAACAACAGGATAAAAGATGAAGTTGTATTTGACTCTTCTTTCAGGGCCAGCCTAAACATTGCATTGAAACTCCCTTGTCAAGTAATGCTCCACATTCCACTCTCTTTAAGAACTGGCCAGTGATGTCCCTTCATGTTCACTAGATACTACCCTGACCTTTAGTTCTTGCTTTTCAAAGAGGAGCCTTTTGTTTTGGAAATAAAAGTAACAGTTTTGTTCTGGTAGTTCTCCCAACCTCTCTTAGTGCTGATGACATCTTTGGTATCATTTAAATATATATATATATATATATATATATATTTTTTTTTTTTTTTTGTAGTTGTACATGGACAGAATGCCTTTATTTGTTTATTTTATTTTATACTTTTTTGTGGTGCTAAGAATCGAATCCATTGCCTCCCATATTCTAGGCAAGTGTTCCACCACTGAGCTGTAGCCCCAACCCCTCGATATCATTTTGAAGGAAGATATTTGAACTGATATTCTCCCAAATTAAAGGAGAATTATTTTTTACTGTGGGAATGACCCAAATGGATTTAGGATTGGGAATGGGCTTAAGATCAATAATCCCATTAAAAGCCAGCTGAGAAAATGAAGGAATTTACCTTCCCCTGTTTAGGGCCTGTTTTGTCCTCTTTCTGTTTCTTATATTGCCTATTTAAAAGTGGAAGAGAGATGAAATTATCTCAATTAAATGAACTAAAATTTACTTTTTAAAAAGTGAGAATGGAGGAATAGAAAAATAATAAAACAGTCATAGTAAACAGAAGGTCCTCTTTGAGAGAGTACCATATAGGGCCAGGTATACTCCTTTGTTTAAATTGGAAAGATGTTTATGTCTTCTGACTTCAGAGCCAGGTATTTGTGAAGGAAGTTTGAAGAGAAGGAACCTAAAGGTCATGGCTTACCCTAGCATCATCCTCTTGCAGGGCAAAGCTGAATCATTGATCCCGAGTGGTAAGAGATGTCTTTCCTCACCCATTCTGGTTCAAGGCTGAGGCACCTATAACAAAGATAGATTAACCAGAGGAAAGGACACCTTTACTTAGTATAAGTTTCACATGACACAGGGGCTTTTGGAAACAAAGACCCAAAGAAACAGAGAATACTGTGAATTCTATGTTAAGGTTTTTTTAAAATTTATTTATTCTGTCATATATAACAGCAGAATGCAGTTCAATTCACATTACACAAATAGAGCACAATTTTCATGTCTCTGGTTGAACACAAAGTAGAGTCATACCATTCATGTTTTCATACATGTACTTAGGGTAATGATGGCCCTCTGATTCCACCATCTTTCCTACCCCTACCCCTAAGTCTCCCATCCCTCCACTTTGCCCAGTCACAGTTCCTCCATTTTTCCCATGCTCCCTTCCCCGCCCCCCCCCCCCCCGCCATTATGGATCAGCATCCACTTATCAGAGTGAATGTTCGGCCTTTGGTTTTTTGGGGTTGGCTTACTTTGCTTAGTATTATATTGTCCAACTCCATCCACTTACCTCCATGTGCCATAATTTTATTCACTTTAATGCTGAATATTATTCCATTGTGTATATATACCATAGTTTCTTTATCCATTCAGCTATTGAGGGACATCTAGGTTGGTCCACAGTTTAGTTATTGTGAATTGAGTTGCTATAAACATTGATGTGGCTTTGTCACTGTAGTATGCTGTTTTTAAATCCTTTGGGTATAGACCAAGGAGTGGGATGGCTAGATCAAATGGTGGTTCCAAGTTTTCTAAGGAATCTCCATACTGCTTTCCAGATTGGTTGCACCAATTTGCAGTCCCACCAGCAATGTAAGAGTGTATCCTTTCCCCCACATCCTCACCAACATTTATTGTTGTTTGTATTCTTAATAGCTGCCCTTCTGACTGGAGTGAGATGAAATCTTAGAGTGGTTTTTATTTGCATTACTCTATTTGCTACAGATATTGAACACTTTTTCATATATTTGTTGATTGATTGCATATCATCTTCTGAGAAGTGTCTGCTCAGTTCATTGGCCCATTTATTGATTTGATGATGATGATGATGATGATAATAATTATTTTGGTGTTAAGAGTTTGAGTTCTTTATATATCCTAGAGATTAGTGCTCTGTCTCATGTGCCAAGTGGTAAAAGTTTGCTCCAATTCTGTGGGCTCTCTATTTATCTCACTGGTTGTTTCTTTTGCTGAGAAGCTTTTGAGTTTGAATTCGTCCCATTTATTGATTCTTGATTTTAATTCTTGTGCAGGAGTCTTACGAAGGAATTTGGGGCCTAATCTGACATGGTGGAGATTTAGGCCTACTTTTTCTTCTAATAGATGAAGGGTCTCTTGGTTTAATTCCAAGGTCCTTGATGAAGAGTGGACAGTCAGTCGTGTAGGAATATCTTGGAAAAAGGAATGATGACCCCTCTGGGAACTTGGCTAGGCCTGTTGGCTCAGATTCTTCTCTATATCTGTGTCTTCAGGAACCTTCCTTTCCTCTGGGTACAGAGAGGACATCTGGGAATGTGAGGGTCTTATGACCTACTTCAGAGTAAAGTCAGCTGGGTTTTATGGCTTTATCCAGGGGTGAGGAGGGAGAGAGGTGAGAGTGGCCTTCCTGCTTCTGCTGTTTTCTTAGATGCTTAGATGATATGTTTTGTGGAAGCATGGTCTAATAAAAATAACACAAAAATGTTGCCAAGGAGTAGAGGCATGGGTCTGGCCTGGTTTTCTACCAGCTGGGCTGTAATTTCAGCCTAGTCCTTTTCAGACTTCTCTGAACCAGGTGTGTACACCTTGAGTGGTCATTTAAAGGATGTACAAGTAAAACTAAGTTTCTGTCCTATTCTTAGTCATTTTCTAATTTGTCTTACTGTAACTTCATATTGAAGGAAGTCATGAAAAGGTACATGTTTTGTATTGAAGGAAGTTAGAAAAACACACATTGCATGCAATTAAATAAATTTTATTATTTGAACACAAGCATATCAACAGCACCCAGATTTTAAGAAAAAGACTTCAATCAGTGCCAAAAGCTTTTTTTTCCTGCCCCCTTTAATTTGTATGTGCCCTCTCCACAGTAGTCTCTGTCCTTGCACCTGATGTTATACACACATTTTGCTTCTGTTGAGGATTGTGTACTCTGGGAAGCAGACTCAGAGGGCAAAAATAGGATTCAGAAGATTAGGGAAAACTCTTAAAATCAACACTTGTGTAAGGAAGACAAAGAAAGAAAAGGAGCAGGATTGAGCAGAAGGAAAAGTTGAGCTCAGTCCGTGGAGGCCTGCAGTTTGTCCCTAGGGGAGTTCTGGAAAGGCCCTTCAGAGATATCCTGAATTGCATGAGACACAGGCCCTGCAGTCCATGCCAACCAGGCTTTGGCTGCTTAGGGAGGGGCACGTGTTGACACTGCTGCTCATGTCATCAGGGTCCTCTCTAAAGAGGGCAGTCCCTGCTGGGTGTCTATTGGCAGCATTCCAAGGAGCTGGGGACTACTCTTCCTGACCTGGGGGGACTTGAGCCCTATGCAACTATATTCAGTCCATCCTGTCATGATACTTCTGTGACTGAAACCATACATTCCTTTGTGTCTGGCTTTTTTAAAGTTCCCATTGTGCTTGTGAAAAAATCACCCTTCTTGTTGTAGTTAGTTTTGTATTGAAGGAAGTTAGAAAAGCACACATTGTTCATTCTCAGTGCTGGGTAGTGTTTTGTTGTAGGATTTCACCCAGTACCTTTCAGGGGCATGTGGGCCATTTCTGGGTTTTTGCTATGAACAGTGGTGCTGGCATGAAGATTCCAGCGATGCCTTCTTGTGAACATGTCTGCTGGCTGGAGCTTCGAGTGGGATTGCTGGGTCATGGAGTGTGCTTTTTTTTGTTCAGCATTAGATGATGCTCCAATCTGTTTTCCAGTGTGGCTGTACTGTTTTATACTCCCATCAGCAGTGTGACCCCACCAAACTTGATCCTCTTTTATGTTAGCCATTTAGAGCTTTTAGTCCTGTTTAGCCAAACACTCTAACACTTTCACTGTTTCTTTACCAGCCACAAAATTCTTCTCATTGGACCAGTTTCACTGAAGAGGAAATGGAGATGTGTAGTAAATGAGTTACAGTTAATAGATAATGATGAATAAATAAAATATAATAGCAGTTTTACTGACTTTATTGTATTTGCCAGGCAATATTCTTAGTGCTTTACATATATTAACAAAATCTTTTATAACAATAATATGAGAGTAGGTATTACAATTGTTTGTGATTTACAGATAAGGAACTTGCTCAAGTTCAGATAGTAGTAGAAGTAGTAGTCATAGGAATTTGAACCTATGTAATCTGACTCCAGAACCATGCTGTGCAGTTTCACAGAGGTTTTACTATTATTTAATGTTAAAATATTTTTAAAAATATGTAGATACTTTATTTTTTGAAAACAGACTGAAGGTAAATTGATATAGGAGTTCCAAAAGAATGAGTGAGGATATTTCTGGCTAGTATTCATCAGTGGTGGACTTTCTCCAGTGACAGAGGGACTGTCAAACATTTATCCCAGCCTACAGTGGTGGTTTGATATTCTTTGTATAGTCTGCGTTCTTATTCTTGTATTCTTTTGATACTTGCCTTATGTTGGTAGTAACACCTGCCCATGTTTTTTGTTGTTGGTGCTGGGAGTAAATAGGATAAATGTAAAATCACCACATTGCCTGACTCATGTCCATGTATGGAATTAATATTATTGGTTGCCTTTAAAAAAAAAAAAACACTGAAAAATTACTGTGCCTGAAAAATCACTGTGCTGCACATTCCCAGTTACCTATGCTGTTCCCACATAAGGGAGCTGTCTCTATCTCAAGGCTGCTTCATATATATAGCAATACGGAAATGGGGGATTCTCAATAAACAGTCTTTTGGAAGTCTTTTGGAAGACCTGGAGTTTTGAATGTAGCAGAAAGCTTGAGATGGCCTACCGCTCATAGGCTTCGTGTCAGAGCTTTCATCTACAGCCTGAGTTGAAATGCCGTGTGGTGTTTAAAGATAAAAAAAGTTATTACTATATAGAAAATGAAAGTAGCCATTTTTGAATGCCTGCATATGTGTCACATACTGAACTTATGCTTGTGAAATACACATTTTTTTCCCCATTTTACCAGTGAGGTTACTGAAACTCAAAGAAAGTAACTTAATCTCTATCAAAGAAACCCCAAGCTGGATAGAAGTAAAATCAAATTTTATTCAGGAATTATTGCAACAGGGGAAGAGAGACTTCATTATGGATAGAGTGAAACTCAATTCTGAATACAGTGCAGACAAGTGGGGATTTATAGCAAAAGAGCAGGGAGGGCTCAGGGGACAGAAAATGACTGAGGAAAAAAACATTAGATATTGACAGTTGTAGTTAGGATTCTTGGTGAAAGTAGACTAAGTGAACACGTGTCACCTGGGGTGCATGTAGGATGAGGAATTTGAGCAGACATGGAGGACCATCCAATATGGAGGTGGGGGATTCTCAATGAACAGGCTTAGCAAGAATTTTGCTATAGCTGGGTAATGCAGTCCCCCCAAAAGATGGACACTGAAGGACAAGACTAGTGTACCTACATCAGCCTGACTAAAGTTGAATCAAGAGGAGGGTCTTTGTCAGCCTTAAGACCAAAGAGATGCAGAGCTGGGATGGCAGTGGGCCTGGTTGACAGGCTGGTGCCGCCTTTGCTCTCATTTCATTGCCACCAAATGCCTAGAAGTACCTTATTTGCTAGGAAGAGTACACAGTCACACTAAAGTTGTATTTGTCAGTAGACCTCTGCTCAAAATGTAAATTATGAACTAAGAGATGTGGTTCTCGTCAGGAAGCTCCAGGTCTGGTGCCTGGGCAAAAGGCAGTTTTAACATCTGAACTTTTAAGTTATAAACTTGGGAAATTCTAGTAAACATCTTCATATTTTAAACCATTACATGTTTTAAGGCTTATGACCTGGCAGTATTTAAACTGTTAGCTTAAGTGGCTTATGAAAGCTATCCATTTTCCATTTCTTTTTTTTTTAATCCATCACTTGTGTGTTTGACTTATTTGGTGCATTTGCAAACCTTTAAGTGAAGCATTTTCTTATAATAATACACACACACACCCTTGTCTTTGTAGCTTTTCTAGTGACATCAGGAAGAAGTCTGCCAGTAACACTTATTTGCCAACTAATAATAATAAAATAAAAACAATGATTCTTCCTTTAATCATTTTCTGTAGGTCATTTAGAAGGCATTGATACCAGATTTGTTTCCTTAGCACAGATGCTTTTCAGAACAATGAGCAGCTGTTAAGACTGTTTGATTATCAACAGGATGTTCCTGATTTTCCAGTCTATAAAGATTTAACATCTTGATTCCTAAATTCCATTTTAGGAATGGGGTGAGAGGAAGATTGGGGGTAGAATTAACTTTTTAATGCTAAAATGGTGTTATCAGTGTACATTTTTAACCATGTGAGGAGTTCAATGGCAATATAGGAAATTCCTCATTAAATACTAAATCTGTGTTTATAAAGAACAAATGATGCTTTCTAAGACCTGTTACATGGAAGTGCTAAGAGGAAGGTACAATTTGGAATGTGGCTATGTATAATGAACAGCTATATCCAAGGCTCATGAAGCTTTAATGAGAATTATCAATTACATTTGGGCAAAAAACTCATTTGTTGGAGGTGGTACTTTGTTTTATCACGAAAGTTATTCATGCACTGTTAAATGACTCCTTGGTAGAAACTGACTCTGTGTAAATGAGCAGATGTCCTTAAACAGGGACAATAGGGACATATTGCCATGTGAATGCCTTGTTTTACACCAGTATCTGGAGCAATAAGTAGGGTGTCTGTTAGGCTATAAACCTGTTCTTACCTGTGAACATTTCCAGAAGCTCCAACAGTCTACAGGGACTTTTTACTTCTTGAGATCTGAGCCTAACTATATAGGCCATACCACTCCCAAATAGTAGTTGTAGTTTTAAACTTCTTTTGGGGTTTTTGATAATTCTGTCTTCTACTCATTTATTTTATTCACAAGTTTCTTGAGTAGTATTATATAGATTCACAATCTTGCATCCAAAATCTTTGTTGTGAAATGTGAACCTCAATAAGTTTTCTACCTTGTTCCTGTTACATTGAAAAAGTAATACATGGCAAGGATACAAATTAATACTGCTTTCTAAAAAAGATCTTACATGGGCCTCAGGTACATCAAATTAGATTGGTCATAATCTGTGGTACATGGTACTTTATCATAATCATTTGTTCATGGATTGCTCTTTTAAGATTTCAATCATATATTCATTTTTATTTTTTGTTGTTTTAGTATTCGGGGTTGAACCCAGGGGCACTTTACCATAAAGCTCTATCCCCAGCCCTTTTTATTTTGAGACAGGGTCTTGCTAAGTTTCTTTTGGCCTTGCTAAGTTGCTTGAGGGTGGACTTGAATTTGTGATCCTTCTACCTCAACCTCTGGAGTTGATGGAATTTCAGGTGTGCACCACCATGCCCAATTATTTGATTTTTTAAAAAACCATTTACTGAAGAACTATGAATTGCCTCTGAGAAATATAACTTATATCTACCAGGTACTTCTAATAGTCCCATGTCTCTGCTGCCATTCCTTTCCCCCAGTGGGTAATCAGGGTCTTTAATTTTGTATATTTTTCCTTGTCTGTGCATACACACACCCTTGTGTGTGCCCTTATACAAACAGTTTATCACATGTACATGTGCTTAAATGATCTATTTATTAGCTTTACTTGTTTTACAACTTTTAAAGAAAGGCATAATGCTTTATGTTGTTCTTTTGGACTTGCTTTCATTGCTTATGGTACTTTCAGGTACCTTTATGTTACCAGGATTCTTCCATGTGGTTGTGTGTATAAGTATAAGTAGTTCATTCATATAAGTATATAAGTATAAGTAGTTCATTCATCTTCACATATGTGTCATGGTGTTTCATTAGGAGAACATACTGCACTTTATCTGTGATTTTCTCATTGTTGAAATATTCATGTTTTTACCTTTTCTCTGTGTTTTGTATTATTTTTTGCTGTTTATTTTTAACAACTGTAAAATTAAATAGTGAAACTTTCAATCAAAACATTGGAAAACAGGAGAATAGGAATATGGTCCTGAGAGATTAAAAAACACACACAAACAACAACAACCAAAAAAACCCCACCATATGTGACCCCTGGTTCTCTGCCTGGAGACAGTCTCCTGACCTCTGCCAGGCAGTTGGAACCCAGTAAAGCACAGTGGTCTTGCCGAGCTTGGGAAGCAGAGACTGGAATCATGGCTGTGGAACAGCTCACTTGCTGAGTGCTTACAGAGAGGAGCACAGGTCTTTGAGAGTGTTTTCCATCATTCGTTGGACTGTGCTTGTGCAACTCTGCAAGGCCTGGTGCAGTGTCTGCAGTAAGTTTGAGGGAAATGTGGAGACACTACAGGTCACAGAGTTGGAAGATGCAGTCCAGACCAGTTAGAGGGGAGGGAACCTTTCCTAAGACTGGGCTTTAGACCTCCTTGAAGAAGGTATGGTTTCAGCCTACTGTATGGTGGAGAATTTCACTGGATTGTTGGACCAGAATTGGTTCATAGATTCCAGAGAGCAGAAAATAGCACTCTGGGGCTCAGACGTAGCTCAGGCTGCTGAGCGGGAACTTGGAGTGAGTTGGTGTCAGGAGCACACTTGTGCTTGATGCACAGTGGGTGAAATATATATTGGTTTGGACACAGAAACAACCATCTGGGGCACATGTGAGCACAGGCTGGCAGTGTGCAGTGGGAGGCAGGGATCCCCTGCTGAGGCAAGGCTTGGAGTGGCCCTGTGTCCATGGGAGGAGGACTGCAGCAATCTGGTCACTGAGTTCAGACTAGGGCTTTGAGGTCTGTGAGAAGGATTGTGCAGCAAGCTGCTGGAGCAGAGTGCCATCAGATGTTCCCTACACAGTCACGACTGACAGACCATGCAGTAGAAGCCAGAAAAGTAAAATGTAGTTTACCAGGACCAGGAGGAGAAGCAGCCTTCCTCCTGCAATGCTTCAGCTGATAAAAATTAGCATCATGCTCACTGTAAAGAAGAAATGCTTAAAATATTCAATCTCTCATCTCTGAGTGGGTACCAAGGGGTAAATTTGAAGAGACAATTGTTTCATAACTGATACAAAAAACTAGACCAGACCCACCCAACAAGGTCTAAAGCCAAGCCACAAAAAGATAAGGAGAGATGTCACTCAGTTACCTGCTTACTAGAATTGACTCTCAATACTCCAGAGGAAAACAATGCAATTCAGATTCCTTAAATCATTTACTAGCCCATCATACAACAATAAATTACTGGAAAGAAGCAGGAAAATGTGACTTCTGATCTAGAATAAAAGCTGTCACTAAAAACATACAATGAGATGGCAGTAATGTTGGAATTACCAAGAGAATAGTATCTGAAGTGAAAGCATTTACTGGATGCCCTTAAATGTAGATTAGAATTGGCAGAAGAGGTCAATGAGCAAAAATTAGAAACTTATTTTAACAAAAGGAAAAAAAATGGGGAAAAGATGAGCAGAGCCTGAGTGATTTGGGAATATCATTAGATGTATAACATATGTCTGGTTGAAATTCTGAAAGGCAGGGAGTGCAGGAAAGAAGGAGAATATGTGACAGAAAAAGTTTTGAAAAAATAATGGTTGAAATTGGTTAAAAAAAAAAACTACACATTTAAGAAGCATAGTGAATCTCAGGATGAATCCAAAGGAGAAAAAAAAATAAAAGATGCATATATAATTATTCAGCTGAAAATTATTTGTAAAGAGAAAAGGAGACAGGGGTGGGAGAGGGAACATTTCATCCATAGGAACAATAGGATGATGGCTGACTTCTCAGTAAGAAACAGAAATGGAGTAATATCTTAACCCATTAAGTCCCAAGTTTCCAATTCTGCAAACACAGCACAAATATTCAAAGTTACCATAATATATTTATTGCTCAATTTAAGTGTTTTTTTTTTTCTAGGATTGAGTCCAGGGGTGCTATCCCACTGAGCTATAACCCCAGTCTTTTTAGAATTTTTAAATTTTGAGAAAGGGTCTTGGTAAGTTGCTGAGGCTGGCCTCCAACTTGTGATCTTCCTGCCTCAGCCTTCTTAATCACTGGGGTCACAGGTGTGACTGGTTTCAAAAAAAATTTTTGTTGTTTTTAAAATATTTATTTATTTTATTAGAGTTTCTGGTTATACATAGTAGTTCAATTAGTTATTCTGTGTGTTCCAGTAGGACAAAATTGGTTAAAGAAAAATTTAAAGAAGAAAAAGGGGTGAAGTAAAAAAAAAAAAAACTTTTAATCTATATTCAAGCAAAAATATCATTAAAAAGTAAAGGTGAAGTAAAGACATTTTCAGATAAATGAAATTTGGGGAAGAAAAAAGTTTCCAGAAACCTTCAGCAGAACCCTTGTGGGTTCCTTTATGTGCTCAGATGCTCTTGGTGAGTGGCTAGGAAGGCTGTGAGAGCAAAGACCTGGCATTTTCATCCTTTCCAGAGTGAGGAAGCTTCTGCCATTGAGGAATAGGAAGATTAGGGAGATGATGAGAGATACTTGCAGAGACAAACAGCAGGGTTTGCCACATATGATTGAAATTACTTTTGTAATCAGAAAATAATAGTGTTTGTTAGTTGGCTCATAGATACAAGTAAAGCAGAAAATAAATCGTTTGTTGTTGATTGACCATTTACAGACTCTTACAGGGCTTTCTAGAAAACCTTTAGAAATTACCTTGTATTCCTTCAGACACCATGCTGACTTCTGGGCATCACAAGGTAATACCTCCTGACCTAAGTCTGCCAGGGAGATAAACAGGCAGCTTCCTGGTTTCCAGCCCCCTCTTCTAGGCAGCATGTCACCTAGGATAGCCTGACTCCAAAGTCTGCATTCCTAACTGGAAATCTCTGTAGCTCGCTTGCTTTGCATCCTCTTGGTTAAAGGTTATTAATTTCTCAGGTTATAAGTTAACTCAACAATAGGCCTTCTATTCATGTTGGTTACAATTTTTAAAGTAGTTCTCCTTGGAAAACCATTCACTAAAATGTAAATTGAAGTTAGTCGCCTGTAGGAGAATGTTGATACCCTGTTTGTTCTACTCACATTTAATTTACTCATATAACCTATAGAAGTCTAAGAGGTGAGTTTATTTTTCTGATAATTTTTATAAAATTCAATTAGAACTAGCTGCTGCCCACAGTATGGAGCATACTAATCCCATAGTAAGGTGCTTAATTTGTGGGGGATGGGAGCTTTCCAGTTTTCTCTCTTGTTTTAAAACTACAAAAGGGTTTGGATTAAATGATTTGAACTTCTTAACATTAAAATTAAGTCAAGACATTCTCATTTTACCAATATTTTGGTGTTTGAGAGATATTTAATGAACAAATCAAGTTCATTTATTTAACTCAGTAGAAGCAGCTTCTGATATTCATGAGGTAGAAAATATTTTCCATTGAGTTGCAGAGTAATTAATTGATCCGAAAAGTCTGCCTGATCCCTAGGTAAAATTTCTGAGTCTGAATTAGTAGAGGCCATTGGTGTGTCTTCTGTGTGGGAGCAAAGGGGAATGACTAGAATTTTCATGAAGAGCTGGACTCGAGGGTGGGTGGAAGAAGGTGTAGCATGCACCTGTGTGTGGAGACCAAGTCCGTTAGCATCATGTTTACCATCTTGTTCATACAGAACTAGCACAGCTCAATGCAAGTCATACCAGTGCTCAAGTAGAACAAGATTCAGTTACAGGAGCTTGGGGTTCTCTCTGTTCAGCTGTCAAATGGGGAAAGAGAACCACGGTAGTGCTGCGGGGCCTTTATGGGCCACATTTAGAGGTACTACATATGACTTTGGTTCTGTTCTTTGGCCAGAACTCAGCCATATGGCCACACTGCCAGGGAGGATGGGGGTGGTATAACTGTGTATTCACAAAGAAGGATGCAGCATGGTACATAGAAACACAAGTACTGAAAAATAAGGGACAGAAAGTCAAGGTAATTATTGACTAGGAAGAGCAAGCAGTTGTATAAGGAGGGGAAAAATAAAGCTGATAATGGCTAACATTTATTGTATTCTTACTGTGTACCATGTACGACTCCAAGCCCTCATGTTTCATTTTTTTCCTCTAAAATTTTATGAGATAAATACCATTATAATTTCCATTTTACAAGTGATTTTACCAAAAATATTGATGTCACTGTTTGGGGTAAATGGAATGGAAAATGAAGAGAGTAGAATAAGAACAAAACAGCATCTTTCGTAGTAGGAAATCTAAATGATGTGAAAATAATGTCTCTATTATGTAGTATGTGACAGAGTCTAGACAAAGTAGCAGAAGTATGTACCAGTAGAGATGTCACAAAAAGTCAAAGGGCTGGGGGTGCAGCTCAGTGGTAGAGAACTTGCTTTGCTTAGCATCTATAAGGCCCTGGTTTCCATCCGCAGCACTACAGAAAATAGGAGGTTACCCCCAAAAAGCTGAAACCCTTCAGTATGACCAATTGGGAATTCAGTTAAGGGATTGCCCTTATATACTGCACTTCTAAAACTTTGCTTAAAAAATGCAAATACCTGTATTTATTATCCATTTACTACTTTTCAGTACTTGGTCATAAAAGTATAGATATCTAATATGCAAACTTTTATTCTAGGTGCAGTGGCATTGCCGAGCAAGGATGGTGGCAGGAGCCAATTTTTACATTGTTGGACGAGATCCCGCTGGCATGCCTCATCCAGAAACAGGGAAGGATCTTTATGAACCAACCCATGGTGCCAAAGTGCTGACAATGGCCCCTGGCCTAATCACCTTGGAAATAGTTCCCTTCCGAGTTGCAGCTTACAACAAGAAGAAGAAGCGCATGGACTACTATGATTCTGAACAGTAAGTTTTGCATTCTCTGCACAAATCTGTGTAGCCCTTTGCAGTCCAAGCTGCTCCCAGGGCTTTAGAGTGTTACTTCATCTTTACAACTGTTCTGATGACTGGCTTTGTTGCACCCACTCAGAATAAGGCAACTCATCTCTCATTTAAAAGTTAGAAGTAGAAATAAAAATTGAATCTGTTTTATTGTTCATGGTTTCAGGAATTTTGAGTTGAAAGGCAAAATTGAGAGTTCTGTGTCTACCATGTCTGCTACCAACTGTTAGTACAAATTATTGCTGGTATTGAGCACATATGTATCTCCCTTTGACTGACAAAGTTATGGTAATTTCTGTCTATAGGCAATTTCTATAGGTGGTGCGAGCTGTGCATTCAAAGTGGCACTGTGAAGCTGTAGAATCAGAAGTTATAGATTCTAGTCCTGTCTTTGCTATGTGATCTAATTAGTCCTAAGTTTTAAGGGTTTTTTTTTACCCTTATTTTCTAATCTCTGGAATGATGGCAGTGGACAAGGCAGTTTCCCCCTATATCAAAATCTGTAACTTTTTCTATGATTTGGAGTAACTAGTTATTTTTATATTTCAGTAGGTGCTTATACATAAGACTTGTTTTGAGACTCATGTATAGTACACTTGCTTTTATAGTACAAATTATGATTAACACTCAGCAAGTAAAACAGATTCAGCAAGTAGAATACAGTTATTTGTTAGTTTACTTTTGATCAGTGTCAACTCTCTTGACAGGCACTACTGAAAATTGACTCTGTCTTGTCTTTTTTCTGTGGCACTTTACACTGGCCTCATATTCAGGAATGATGCTGACCCTGACATGTCCTCACTTGATGTGGCCCATTTTGTCACAGTGTGACAGGAAAGAAAAAGAAACCTTTTTAAAATTAAAACAACAGTTTTCATTGCCCTCTTCAACCTATAGGCTAAAAAGCTCCTGCCTTGAATTCTAGATTTAGGCCCTAAGGAATGGTTTCTAAAATAGATAATACGTTTCTTTTTGGTTAATTTCTTTGAGGTAAAATAAGTTACCCAAATAAAGAAATATTATTGTTGCCATTGGAGATTGGAGAATTTGTTGATTTCTCATTTAATGACAAATAATTCTGAAGACAGTGCACATTTTAGATGGCTTTCTGAGTGATAACTATAGCTAAAAATAAAAGAAAGTCTTATGAGAGTGAATGAACAGAAAAGGTTTTCATAACTGATGCAGGCAAGTGTTAAAGAACTCCTAACTATTTCTTAGATGTGTACCCTGAACACTGTAACCCATATTCCAGCATAGTTCTGAACCACCAGAATTTGCAGCTAACCAGAACATTTTTATCGTTGTACAAAATCAGATTCCAAACATCTAGGAATAAATAGTTTGACATCATGTGGGTTTTTGGTTTTTAGAAAAACCTTTAAAAATATATGCGTAGCGGGCCACAATGATGCAAGCCTGTAATTCCAGCTACTGAGGAGGCTGAGGCAGGAGAATTGCAAGTTGAAGACCAACCTGGGCAACTTGCAAAGACTGTCTCAAAATAAAATTTTTAAAAGGACTTGGGAACATAACTCAGTGGAAGAGTATGGGTAACGGCCAGCTTCTTGTTGGGGAATTTTCTTCCTGCCGAGGAGGTTGTAAGGTCTAGAATAATTAGTGAAGAACAAATGACAGAGTCTGAAATATATTTTCAAAAGCAGAGGCCCTGATAAATGCAGTCCACATGGGAGCTGGAACTAGACAAAAGAAAGATGGCTCCAGTAGTTCATTTAAGGAAGTATATCAAAGGTGGGGATAAGCTTTCTAAGGCAGTCTTGCTTCCTGATGTCTTGCAATTATCAGGTTAATTAACATCTTGTCAGGTAACACCCATCTCAGGTGCTGTGTGGGACATGACAGATTGGGACAGGAATTCACAATGTCTCTGGGCAATCGCACACAGAGGAAATGTCCACTGGTAGTTCCCAGACACCAGATGTTTCTATTCCCTAGGCTACGATACACGGTGGCTCACACACAGCATGGCTGGCTTGCGACAGAAGAGTGCCTTCCTAGCCTGTATGAGGTCCTGAGCTCATTCTCCAGTACTGCCCCACCCCAAAGTGTATATATGCATGCATGTATATTTATATACACATACTATAGTTTCACTAAAAATAATAGCCTTAAAAGTGTATGCTGAAGGTTATAAATTGACTTTTTCTACCAAGGGGATGCCTCTTTTGAAGCTTTAAAAGGAAGAATTACAAGAAAAATGAAAGCAATTATAGTAAACTTTGAACTGCATTGCCACGTAAGATTATTGAAACCTTAAAATATAAATTATAAAGGAGGATTAAAAGGTTTCAGGTCCTGTCCTTCCCTTTCATGGTTAACTGTATGTAGGCCACAATCAAACATTCTTATTTACTTAGTCCATGGGGAGGTCTACCCATTGGTAATTCTTTTAAAAGGCTCCCACCTAACCCCCAGAGGAAGGGCAGTAGCACCTTCCTATAGTCTATGATACACACAGTGTCAGAAATGGACTGCTGGGACAAAGTGTTTTTGGTATCTCACCCAACACACAGGTTATTTGTTTAGGCTGTGTACAAGTGGTTATGAATGTCAGCTTGTTCTCAGAGTTGTGATTAACTGAATTAATTCACTCACATAGTGGCAAGGGAGAGCAAAGAAGAGAATCATACTGCCAGTGGCTAAAAATGTCAAACTTAGGTACATTTCTGTTTTGTTGTGTTAAGAAAACAAAACTAACCTCAAAAAGAGTTGAGCTTTTCTTTCACACTTCTTGTGCCGATATGTTTCATTTCTGTGGTCCCTTTGCATGGTCAGCTAATTTAATCACACGCAGGACCCTAGAATCCATCTGTATGTGGTTGACTGATGTGCTGGTAAGCCCTTGATAACTTTGATGTTTGGTTAAATCTGTGTAGTATTGTTTTAAGTATTTCTTTTAATCATTCAAAAAGCTAAATAATTACATCAGTTCTCATAA